AGCTCTTACCTCTCCGAAAGCTACGGATTGACCCGTCTTCTTGTCGTCCCCCTTGTTAACCGCATAATAGCTATATTCTTTTTTTTTCTTTGTTCATTCACACCGAAATTTCCCCCCCCCCCCCGTATTCTCTGTATCTCTGTGTGTAACGACTGTTTCTCCATTTCTCCAATTTCAGGAAGGTTTTGGACGGAAGAAAAAGAAAAAAGAAGTAAGACGTTACGTCACGCTAAGTAATACCACTCTCTCTATCTCATCCGACTCTTCTACCTTACTGTACACATGTACACATGTGCACATATGCACACGCCGCATACATACGTATACATACATACATACATACATACATACATCACACACATACACACATATACATACACACGCGCAAACAGACACGCACACGATCTCATGATTTTTCCTCCGTCGGCAGCATTTGGCCGATCGATCGACTAGACACGCGTCACTCACTCACTGGCCGAAGCCACACATACGATACAATACTTGCTCACATTTTGTGCAGGGATTGAAAACAAGAATAATGAACTTTTCGGTTCCTCCGATGTCGAAGAGGAATCAATGTTTTCGATAAATTGTCGGGCAATTCCACACCTTCGCAGCACATTCGAACCTACGTTTATAACCGAAACTTTTCACATTCGATTTTGCTTACAGTCGATTATTAATTTTTATTCTTTTAATTTTATTTAGTTTTTCTTCGTTCATTGATCTATCCTCAAACAATTTTACGAAATATTTGTTATTTTTTTTTTGTTACCTGTGGATTACAAAATATGAAGCAGAATAGTATATTTTTTTTTTTAAACAATATTTTTCGCAAATTATTGTGACGACGATATTTTTTCCGGTGAATTGTTAGTGACAATCTCGGTGTGAACTTTGACTTTTGTGACTTTCAGCTATGATTCTTTTTCGACTGTCACGTTTGATTTGAGGAGAATTTGCGTTCATTTTAGACGGTCGCGCTCGTAAAGGTTTCAATCCCTGGTTTTCTGCGTGCCACGATGTATATATCGATTCCTGAGCGTCATCGTCCCGAATCGATATATCGACCAGATACCAAAGATGTGCAAGTTTAATCCACGAGGCATTGAATTCGAAACGTTTTGATTAATTAATTCGTGGACTATTCTTAGGAAACGCGCGCGATTCGCCTCCGCCGTATCTCAATGTCGGGTATCTTTCTTAGCTTTCTTATCGCAATCGCGAAATGTCCCCACCACCCCTGGGGATATTACAACGTGATGATCGAGAACATCGTGATAAAGTCTCATGATTTGCACACGCACACACATACACACACGATACAAAGCAGCGTGCTTCTGTACATCGCCCTTTTTTGGTTGTTTTGCAAATACACGAATACACGTTCCTTGGCAAGTGTCTTGACGTCTTACGATCAAAAGCGAGCTATGCTTACGCCTTAATGCGCGGCTTTCCCTCGAAATATTTGTTGCTTTCGGAATCTTTGTGCCTCTAAAAGCGCTTTACGGCACGCTTGCAGAAGAGTTTGGAATCAATCGTAACGAGAGAGACGTTCTGAATCATATCAATCGTTCAATTATCATAAGTGTCAAGTCGAGAGAGACGAGTAATCTGTATCAAGTGATATAGCATAAATATACATGTATCTCTCGTAAACGTCCAGAATTAATTGAATGAAACAAAAATTGTTATTTTATTAA